CCATCTTCCAAAATCAAGTTTTTCACTCAAAGATTCAAGAAATTACAGAAATGAAATTCTTTGTCATCATCTTCTTCTTCCTCCTCCATTCTCTCTCCTCCGGTCCCAAGCGGATACCCATTGGAGAACCTAGACCCAGAGGAAACCAGAGACAACTCGATGGATTCTTTGGTGGTTCTCACAGAACCCTTCTCTAAAACAGGAAATAAAGGAAGAAGAAGAAGGGACAGGGGGGAGGACGAGGGAGGAGAGAGAATCGAAGTGGTGTCACTGTTTGAGGCTTTGAGCATTGAGGGAGAGAAGGGTTAAGTGGTAAAACTGTAATTTCAGTTTTTATAATTAGTTTTGCATTTTTGGCAGACAGCTTCTTTGATTTTTTTTAACTAAATATCTTTATATTCCAAACAATATTAAAAATCATTCTAAAACTACTTGTTTCAATAACTTTTTATTAAAAAAGACTAAACTATCATATTTTTAAAGCATGCATCAAAGTGATTTTTGTCTTTTTTCTTAATTTTTGAAAGGTAAGGCGAACAACCACTAACCCCTTAATTTAAAATTAATTTAAATCAAATTTTATAAAAGAAAAATTATTTTAATATTTATTTTTTTATTAATAAAATTTAAATTTAAAATCTTTTTTAAATTTAAAATTTTATTTAAAAGGGATTGAACTCTACTAATTAAAATTAACAAGTTATTGGTTTTTTTGATCTTTTTAATGCATGCTCTATGCATATATTGTGATTTAATTTTGTCCGAAACACTTTTAGCTTGCAAGTGCTACATTGTGTTGTTATTGTAATTATATTTTTTTGGAAAATTATTTTTAAGTAATTTAGTTAGAATTTTGTTTTAAATTAAGTAAAAATTTAATTTTGTGTCTTACATAAATAAACAAAATATTGATTGAATTTATTATAAATGTGTCATGTTATTTAAAAAAAATCTATACTTCCCTTCACACAATTATATATTTATACCTATATTCTTATTGATTAGAATACAAAAAATTTTATTTTGAAATAAACTATTTTACATTTAAATAGACACGACTTCCCCATAGTCTATTAAGAGAAGTATTCAGGTACTTC